TGAAAAAATATCATCAAGAACCAATTTTCTTGCCAATATTTTATCAATTTATCATTACATCCGTATCTATTCTTGTTCTAGGCTAATATGGAAGCTGCCTGATTTATGTAAAGAATTTTTTAATGAAAAAATTAGATTGATAGGTCTTATAACATGTTTGAGAGTCATTAACCTGAAAATTGAATTGTTCCAAATAGAAATTAAATACATTTATGAAAGTCTTAAGCCCATAATGAAAGCCCAAGCCCAAGCCCAAAAACATATTTGATCTTTTTAGTGGTTTGCGGGTATGTTTGTAAACAAATCTAATCAAATCAAATATTGTTAACTCTTTTGTATACTTAGGTAAGAGATGTGGCTTAAACACACTATTTCATGTAGTGTTTTCTTTGTTTTTTTGCAATAAAGAAGCTAGAAGTATTAATAAATGTCAATTGCCATGTGTGAGAATACCCCAACATGATATAGAGTCATAGACAATAGATTGTTATGCAGAAAACCTTTGGTGCAAAAAAAGTATACTCCATATTTGATAGTTTATCATAGTCTTTTTATTTATTTATTTATTTAATGACTTAAAGTTGAAATCTAAAAAATCACATGAATACTTCAAACACCAAAAATTTTATAAATGTCATATATCACGACTTTTTTGGATTAGATAAATGGAAGGCTTGTGATATGCATAGAGAATAATAAATTTTAACATATTAACCATTTTTAGTTCTTGATGTGTGAACTAATAATCCTCTTTTGCAGTTTGTGAATTATTACTTTTGGGTACATCCACAAGCCTGAATCCAGCATCATCTTCTTAATTTGTGAGAGCTGAAATATAATTCTTCCTTGTACGCATTGTTTACATTGGGAGGATCCATTATACGATGTATTGTTGTCAACCTTAATCTTAAGGTATGCTCTCCATCCAGTTCTTTGCTTACTATTACACCTTTCGTCTTCGAAAGATTTTTTCTATTATGAGTTATGATGTTCGAGTAAACTCATTTGAATTTCAATTTATATGAAAAATAATGTACTTGTAATATTTAAAAATAAAATTTAAATATTTAAAAATAGTATCAAGAATTTTATAAAACCAGAAGTGCCAAGATTATATCATTTTATATGTGTAGTAAAAACATTTCCAACACATAACTTGATCATTGCCTCATGTGGAGGACACACTCCTATATTAAAAAGAACAAAACACCAGGTGTGAAAAAAGCTCCCAACACATAGCTTGACCAAAGCCAACAAGATCATAAATAACATAAAAAATAGCCACACATTCTTAAAAATGCCACTCTTATGAATTTTATCAATTACAACCGGTAAACATACAAAAAAATTAATGATGTTACTAAATTATTATTTTTTTGTAAAAATACTCGGTATTACTTTTTTGTTTGTTTGTTGAGGTTAACAACTGTACTCTTTTGTATTATTGTTTTATTAGTGTTTAAATATAAAGAGATCACCAAAATAGAAGAAAAACATAGAAAAATTAAGAAATAGATTGATTCTTTTGTCGTTTGATTCTTAACTAGCCTCTTTGTTTTTTCAACTAATTTGTTTCTTTTCATTTCTATTAACTCAAAAAATTATATTTAGGGTTTAGGGTTTAGGGTTTAGGGTTTAGGTTTAGGGTTTTTTTTAATGGAGTGGAAGAAAATGAAAGAGGGGTCAAAAGTGAGAGAGTATCAAAGAAGATCCTTTGCTAGTCTTACCGGCATTTCATTCAAAAACACCACATCGCTATTCCGGGCAGTCAACAACTGTTGACTAATGTCGTCATCATCGCTGTCCTCTGTCAAACATGATGCACCAGAATCTGAACTATCTTCTGAAGACGTTTGATGATCAGGGACATGCCTGACTGTCGCAGCCTGAATATTTTCGGGTAACAGACAATTGCAGAACGATCCTACACGAGCCAGACGGTTAACCCATCCAGGAATCGGCTTGCCAGTGAGATGCAGACAGACTTCATTTGAAAAATGATTGCAATTTTTTACAATTAAATTATAAGAGTCCCCGCGGTACTTATTAGATAGGCGTTCCATAAAAGATCGGACTTGTGAGCGAGACATGTCTGTACTTCCAAGCAGTACAGACCGCCTGAAAACAAATCCTGAGCAGCTTCGTGGCTCCACCTCGAATACCCCACTGGTCGGGAATTCATGAGCTCCGAACCCATACTCTAGACCATGAACTTCAATACCAGAATGAAACACGCCAATCCCAAACCAATACAAGTAGTTGTTTACAGGTGTGAGATCATAGACATTAAGGTACAAGAGAGTACGGCTTTTCTCTCCATTTTTCTCCTGCTCCTTTGAAAACATGCAGCTTGAAGAAAACATCCGCATTGTATATTTGTATATAATTAATCACAAGCCAACTTTCACCTCAAATCCCCCCTCCTACTCGGAGATTTGAGATGAGAAATGAAGGGCGACGAGAATGAGAGAGCAGGATGACGTCGCCACCAGATCGCCGCCGCGATTGGGATGGGGCTGACCGGCTGAGGGCGGGAGAGGGTTTAGGGTTTAGGGTTTAGGGTTTAGGGTTTAGGGTTTAGGGTTTT